CAAATAATTTTTTGAGGCATGTCAGAAACGTACTATTTTACTCTACAAAGAAATCCTAATTTCTTATCATATTTGTGAGAGATGGTGACATTGACTAATATAATAAAAATTAAAGAGAAGGAAGCGAATCGACAATGAACAAATTTCAAATTTCCGTCCTTCTTTTTATAAAGTTTGCCAATTTTATTCTAGTTGGCGGGTCGAACGTTAGTTGGTGAAAATAATCAAAATAATGTGAAACGAAGTACTTGACAAGTAATATGAGTGACAAAAACATCAAACAAGATTGACTTCGTTCCAGGTTATAAAACGGGATATAAATCAGATGTAAAACTAAAGAAAACACAAAGAGAAATCAATTCAAAGTCTTTTTAAAGTTGCTTGTGTAAGTAAAATATTTATTTATTTCTAAATATAATATTTATTGTAAACTAGTCAAAACCGGTATTTTACAGTTATAAATCCTCACTTACAAACAGCAATAATTACACATTATATTTAACTTACTAGAAAATAAAATTTGAAGAGTAACTGCTCTTATTTTTTTGTTGAACCCCAATTTTCTCATTGTAAATGTTTTTTTATAGGAATCTAAACGTTTAAGACAGTGGCAGCATATCATTTGAAGGGCTGATAAAGCACTTTTTAGAGATGTTGCTATTTGCGAGCAATACCATGTATATTCCCAAATCTCCCTTTATACTTGTATTATTACAATAAAAAATCTTGTAACTGTGTTTTATTTGGCTATTAAAAAAAATAGCCACAAAATTATACTTACCAAATATCACCATTTAACAATCCATTTCAAATTTAATCATACCTAATTTGCATTTTATATAGATAAAATTAAATATTTTATCACTTAAAACATGCACGATATATTTAGAAATAAATACACCAATATTGTCTATGCTTAATTTTACAATAAACAAGTTTATTTTTATTATTTGTACAAAATTATGTAAAATTCACATAGCAAGCCATGTAGTTTTAACATCCCTAGCAACACCAGTGCTCTGCCCGTGTGGTGAATTGTGAAGGCTTAATTAGCATTCGTTTCTTGGAACCGTATTTCGAGTATGCCGTTTCACCCCTCCCCTTCTCTCTAGTGTTAATAACAAATATAAAAATGTCAAACATCAAACATCAGTTTTTCATGAATACAATAATATAGTGGTTTATTGACTGTTAATGTAAGAGTAAGCAGACTACATATAAAGACTTTTTAATGTCCTGAGGATTTTGCCGTGGAAATTGATCAAAGGTTTTAAAATTTTGGTGACAAAAGTTGATCTTCAGTACTGACAAGATCAAACCTCCCATTATTTTTTGTTTTGTTTTGGAGTGAAAACTAATGGCGTTTATATTTGCAGGAAAGTAAATGAGTGGTATCGACGCTGCCACTTACAGGTCAGTAGCACTGGCCACTAGTTCGATCTCTAACAGGCAACATTGAAACTGTGTTATTTCATTTCCTGTTGTTTGTGCGAGTGCCGTTTATTATTCACTGCAACACAAGAAAAGCAGAACCGAAAGATTCATCTTGTCAGCACTGCATGTTGACAAAACTCATAATGGGTGCTATGATTGAACGTTTACGACGTTTACGTTATCCGTAACGTACACGTTAGACCGAGTTTTAACAGTAACGAGGCAAGTTCGTGTGACGGATAACTGTTAAATTAGAACATAATAAGCGGAAAATAACAGTAATGTGTTGGGAAAAGTTTTCCATCATACGAACTTGCCTCGTTAATGTTAAAACTCAGCCTAACATGTACGTTAAGGATAACATACGTTCAATCATAGCACCCATTATCTATTATATTAATTTATGAGAACGATATTCTCCATATTAATTAGTATTTCTCGTTTTATAGTGAAGGGACATTACAAAATATATTTCGTCATCTTATTTGTATTTGTATGTTACTAAATGAAATTATACTATCTCAAATAACTTAAAAACCCATTTAAGTAACATATTAAGCTCTTTTCTTTATAAAAAGCAATTTTGCTTTTGAAATAGATCCTTATAAATATTTCACAGACCGCCTATGCAAGAGGATTTCGTTGTGTATTTTAACAATCCCATTCACGGAAAGACACTTTCTTCCTTCAACCCCCCACATCATCGAAGGGTAGGTATTTACTTGCGGCGCAACGACCCCTTGTAGTATTTATCTTGTCGGGAAATGTCATCTGGAAAATAAATCAGCTCTGAGTTTCACTCGAACTTAAAATCATCGTTGTGTAAAAGGGAATTGGGAGCTGTCAATACAGAACTCGACAACTATGTTATATTGTGATTTCACTTAAGAAGGACTGATATTGACATTTAGAAATTCTTAATATTGGGATGGTGAAAGCAGAGCCAAAGCATAAAACATTAAAATTGAAAATTTTTATAAACGATAATATCGCGAGTTCTTAAAATGTTATCGATACAATTTTAAGTTTCCATGAAAATGTCTTACTTTGAAAAGACCACGAAGACAAATAGATTGATATAAACATGGGCAAGTGTAATTTGAAAAGACTATTTTTTAAAACATTTTATGTAAAAAGTTTTACATAGAACTATAGAATACTTCTTCTTAGACCAATCTTTATGTAGAGTAAAATAAACGTAGATGAGATAACGATGCTTTATGGTCGAGCATAACAAAATTAGGACTTGAAATTGAGCTTATTATTTTAAGTGACAGAGGCCATAAAATACCCCATGTTATATGTCCTTATAGGATATAAAATGCATATGAAGATTGTCAACACTAACTTATATCCTACTTTTTCAAAGTTTAGGACATTATCCATGGAGCATATGCGTACAATTATTAATTATTTAGACCAGTGCTTCTCAACCTATGGGCCGCGAAGATATTTCAAGGGGCCGCGAAGCCTTGTTAAAATTTTATTATGTCTACATTTTGCAACTTTCAAACATTTTAACCATGAGCCACCACTGCTACCATAATACTTACTTCTCCGAAAGCATTAGTCATCTTTGGAGAGATGCATAACCTGCGTGTCACCCACTACAAACTGCAGACTAGTGTTGACTGCTGATGCATACGCATTAAAATAATTTTCTTTCAATATTCTTGTAATAAGTAATCTTCCAAAGTGGTTTTAGTTGTTATTATTGTAACAAAAACTTAGTAAGTACAATTTTCAAGATTTTATGAATATCAGTGTGTCGTGAACATACCGAAAACAGGACGTTGAAACATAATACTTAATTACGCAGAAAATAGAAAATAGTTTTGGCCACTTAAACAGAAAATAATAATAAGTGTTCGTCGCCTGGGGGGTAACTGACTGATTTAGGCGGCCAAAATTCATACCAAATTTTTACGTATTACAGTGTAATAAGTGTAAGAAAAGTGTAATAATTACACTTTTCTAAATGTCATTCTAATATTAGAACTAAGTTTGTAATCCAATTTAACTACAAATTAAGTATAATGTAAAGTGGACCTAACAAAATTTCAAAAAAAAATTATTACATAAAGCTTAATACAGTTTTCCAATACCTATCGCTTGTGGGTTTGGAGAAAATTAAAACTGAACACGGAATATTTTATAATAAACTTGATTAAGCTTTCCTTAGTAATTTTTTGTGCACTTTCATCTTGACATTTAAAAATCTTGATTTTTCAAAAATTAACAATTAAAAGAATACATGTTCATGTTGTAGTTCAGATTTGACTAACTGCAATTGTGAATAAGATGGATCGCTATTTAAAACAACTTAATTCTAATAGTACAGAAACAAATGAAGGTCCTTTATGTTCAAATTAGAAACAAAATCTCGCTGGTGGTGTAAAGGAAGAAAGTACTGCAAAGAGAGTTAGAAAATATTCAGATAATTTTTTGTCACATGGATTTTCAGTTATTGGGCCAGTCAATAATCCAAAACCCCAATGTGTAATCTGTTTTGAGGTACTATCAAATGAAGCTTTAAAACCATCAAAATTGAGGGGCCATTTGGAAACGAAACATAAAGAACACATAAATAAACCAATTGATTTTTTTATACTCAAACAAAAACATCTTCAAACTACATAAACTATCGCTAGGAATATGGTAGCTGATGCTGGTATAAAAGAAAATGCGTTGAGCTTCTTTTAAGTTTCAGAATTGATTGCTAAATGTGAAAAAGCTCATACTATAGGACAGGAATTGCTGTTACCAGCTGCAAAAATAATGGTTTTAACTTTAGTTAGCGATAAAGCTGGTAAAAGACTTGAAAGCATCCCTTTATCGAATGATATGGTCAAAAGGCGTACATGCAATAGCAAATGATATTAAAGAAGATGTGATTCACAGAGTTGGTCCGTCTTTTCATTTTTCTCATCAGTTACGTTCGTTACATCTATGGCAAATCTGTTTTTGAAGATGTATTGTTCATGTCTGCTATACAACATACAACTGCTGAAAATGTTTTTAACTGCTTAAGGTAGTTTATAATATCACATAATATAAACTGGTCCAAATGTGTGGGTCTAACCAATGACTGAGCTCCGGTCATGTATGGAATATTTAAAGGACTTTCAGCACATGTAAAGTGAATTATGCCTTTGATTTCTTGGTTTCACTGCGTCATTCACAAAGAAGCTCTCGTTGCGAAGAAGATTCCTAATCAACTTAAAGCAACCTTAGATAATTGATTCCATTAAAGTGGTTAATTTTATAAAAAGCAGAGTATTAAATTCAAGACTCTGAAAAATTATGTACAGAAATTAATTGTGATTATCATCAACTCCTACTGCACAAAGAAGTTCGTTGGTTGTCACAAGGAAAAGTTCTGAGCAGATTGTTTCAACTAAATGTCCGATTATTTTTCAGTGAGAAAAATGTCCATCTCGTTCCAACGATAGTAGTTGGCTAACCAGATTGGCCTATTTGGCATATTCAACCACTTGAATTTACTAAATCCGAATTTACAAGGAAATGGAATTTCAAAGTTACAAGTCGAAGATAAGATTGAAGCAATGATAAAAAAATTGGATTTGTTTCTGCGCCATGTTAGAAAAAATAAGTTTGATTCTTTTCTCAAATTAAAAGAATTTTTAGAAGACAATGAAGAGACTCTACTTGATTGCGATAAATCACTCTTTTTGCAGCATTTGGACGCATTAAAAATCACATTTCGTGAGTATTTTCCCCTGCCAACAGTCAACAATGCATGGATTAGAAATCCATACTCGATTGCAAATACATCAGAAAATGAAGGTCTGACAGCACTAGAAGAAGAACAGTTCATAAAACTGTCAACTGATGGTGATTTAAAAAGTAAATTCGATCAGCTTGTACTTGAAGATTTTTGGGTATTTGTGAAAGATTCATATCCGGAACTCTCAAACAAAGCCTTAAATTTTTTGATCCCATTTTCTACTACATACTTATGCGAAACTTTATTTTCTGCATTATTGTATATAAAAAATAAATATGGAAATAGTTTGAAAAACGTTAAAGAAGAAGTAAGGCTGAAATTATCCAAAATTAAACCTAATATAGACAAGCTTGTCCGAGAAGTGCAAGCTCAAGGATCACATTAATTTTACAAAAATTATTAAAATTAACACTTGTTCTTTAAAAAATAAAACTTCCCTGATATAATCTTTTTTTATTGTTTTATAGGGCCGCCAATTTTATACAAAGCTGATCGGAGGGGCCGCGAGTAAAAAAGGTTGAGAAGCACTGATTTAGACGATGAAAGTAGTCCATATGAAATTCTTAATTCAAAAACTCTAAAAGAAATTCTTGAAGTTTGTAGTCATGTAATATTAAACCTTGTGAATACCTCACTGAGGACATGCAAGGTCCCAGATGCTTTAAAAGTTAGTACTGTGGTTCCCATACCTAAAGTTAGCAATACCATAAAGGCAAATGAGTTTAGACCTATTAATACCTAACCACCTTTAGAAAAAATTCTTGAAATAGCAGTTTATAATCAAATTTTAAAACACATTGAATTTAATGAAATTTCAGTTAACTTTCAATCGGGTTTTCGTAAAAAATATTCATGTGAAGCAGCACTTCAGCTTGCATTATGTAAATTCAAAAAGGAAGTAGATGCTAATAAATATGTAGTAGCTGTGTTCTTAGATCTAAAAAGGGCTTTCGATACCATATATCGAGACATTCTCTTAAGAAAACTTAAGTAGTATGGTATTGAGGGTGAGGTGTATAAATTGTTATCTCACTGTCTAATGGAAAAATACCAGAAAGGGCCAAAAGCCGGGAAAAAAGGGAAAAACAAAACGAATCAATCTGGTAAACAGACGGTTTAAAAATGAAAAACAGCACAGGAGCTGGGATCTACCATGTGAACTCAGGGAGGACCATTAGTTTGAACCTGGGGTCACTGACAACAGTCTTCCAGGCTGAAGTAACAGCAACAAATGCCTGCGCCAAAGTATGCTAAATGACTTTCTTAGAGATAAGAGAATCGTTATCATGACAGACAGTCAGGCAGCCCTTAAAGCACTAAAAAGGGTAGAAGTACAATCTAAATCAATATTTGATTGCCAACAATCCCTCCAGGCTCTGGCAGAACATAACAGGGTTACCCTTGAATGGGTGCCAGGACATGAGGGAGTATTTGGAAACGAGAAAGCAGACCTCCTAACAAGGAAGGGAGCGGAAAAAACTCTTTTTGGACCAGAACCCACATGTGGTATCTCATACCAACATGTTAAATGGGTGTTAAAGGAACAAATAAAAAGAGAACACCATAGGCTCTGGATGGAACTTCCTGGACTTAGACAGTCCAAAAGATTCATAGAGGGGCCATCCACGAGCAGACAACATCAACTGCTAAACCTTAGCAGAAGCGAACTCAAGGCCGTAATAGAACTCCTTACGGGACACTGCGGCCTTAGAAGACACCTAAATCTCTTAGGGATATCTGATGACTCCCTATGTAGAATATGTGAAGAGGAGGACGAAACTCCTATTCACATACTATGCCACTGCCGGAATTTAAATGGGAACGGGAATGGTACTTCGGGGTACAATATCCGGAACCTGAAGAAATCGCGAAAGCGCCCATCAGACATATTCTTGAATTCATCAAGAAAATCAATCTGATGGGATAGAAACTGTGAGGGGTACAATAAGCCTAAAACTTCAGTACAAGTGGGCTTTGAACCACGCCCTAATTCAGATGATGATGAATGGATAGAAAACAAAAAGTCAAAGTTTGTGATATCACCTCAAATGTAATAAATATCTATGTAGGTGTACAGCAGGGTAGTGTGTTAGGCCTCCTCCTGTACATACTGTATTTAAATGACTTGAATCTGGGTACAGACGTTGATTTTCTTAATATATTCGCATGTTATTAGCTTGTTTTGATGAAAACTTTTGGAATGCTATAAAGAAAATGAATTCTACTTTTTCTGCCATAAATAAATACTTAAAATTACTATAAATAAATACTTAAAATCTACAGCGGTTACATAAGTTTCGGTTGTTACGGGCCTTCGACGTCGCTCAGACGGTAGCTAGGGGGTGGATAGCTATAAAAATTTCGGAAATAGTAGACAAAATCAAGATCGTAAACTGGGTCTCTATATAGTGATCAAACTATGTTCTTATTTTCCCACACATCCAGTAAATAAGAAAAGGAATAAAAGACAAACATCAAACTTATGTTCCTTTATAATTAATTTTCCAAATTTACCCAATTATGCAAAGATTAACAATTTTAAAAATTAATAGTAAAGAAACTAACAAACCTAATGTTTGTCATTAAGCAAATTCAAACTAATTAATGTTCAAGAACTAAATCATAAAAAAATACAATATATTTAAAAAATATATACTACGGCTTATGATGATTTCATAACTAAAGAAACTAAGTATCCAAATAGATAAAGTAAGAAATTATGAATGAACCAAAAAGAGTAATAAATTCAACAATAGATGGCACGTCGGTATTTAGCATGGTACCAGGCGAAGGACAATTTGCTCAAGATGTTAAACAAATATTGTAAAATATTAATTTCTACTTTTTACTTTCCACAATAATATATTATAAATAAACAATTATAAATCAATACGTGTAACTTCTCACCTACTAATAAACAAATTCAAATGTTGAAATACAATATACTATTAACACTCTCCAAATTGAAAGAAGTTACTTGCTTGATTTATAGTTAAGACCAAATTATTTATAAAAAAAAATATAAAACAATGAAATTTTGACCACTAAATATAAATCATAAAACACAAAAATAATAAACAAAAAATATCATAAACACATTAAAGTCATATAAGACTGCTTAACTACCCGTTAAGTTTTACTTTTATATTTTTAATTAAAAAAAGAAATCTAAGAAAGTTAAATGTTGACCGTAGCCCTTAGGTCCCGAGATATTTAAGGTCAATACTCAGACCGAGACACTAAGTGCTCAATAAATTAAATTTTGATTATGAAACAATATTTGGTAGCAGATAAGCTATTAAAGAAAATAACACTAAAACATTATGTATGCAAAAGTATAAATAAAGTTAAAAATACCTTAGGAACATTCGTTTAAAAAAGTAGAATGTTTATTTCAACAAACTAGCAGACATAGTGCATATGAAATCCTCATTATAATATAAAACACCTGATAGTAGGGTGTCTCCATTGACAGCATTACCATCTTTCCATCCAGATAAAGTAATATCTATGTAAAACCAGAGATAAGTAAGCCAGGTACTAACCGATGGACCACGAATATACGGTCCAATGTTCTGGTAAACCGGTGTACTATTTTCCTCACAGTTGGACTCACGTGAAGCCTCCGGGTGAAAACCTGGAGTCGAAATCCTAACAGTGAAAACCCTTCGGGTGAAGCCTTAAAATATTACAAAATGTGTCAACACAAATTGACTCAAGTTTTCCAAGCTATACAATTAATTACATCAAATGTAAGCTGGAAACTATTAAGTACCCAGGATAAATGAAAATTAATAGTATATTATGCAACGATCATGTAATAACCATAGGACAAACGTCAAATGCACAACATGCTTGATTGAAAAATTATGGGTTTCTATTAAATAAAAATCTGTATCGCTATGAAAAATCTGTATCATAATGGGTATCATTATAAAACAGATTATGGGTATATAAGTGCATTATTATAATACGGGTGTAGAAAAATAGTATTATGCACTCACAATCAAAATATGTATAATATTACTAAATATATATAAAACATACTATTTTCGTAAAGGGTTCAACTAGGTAGTAGCTTCCCAGAAAAGAAGAGGTCGTCCACAAGCAACCACGCTAGAAGAGTCCACTTCAATATTACACAACTCAAATGCTAAGGGACTTCCCTGTACAAAACAACGAACTAATAACTAAAAATCTATTGAAATTTTTCATACTTTCAATTTTTATGTCTTTAGATCTCTTTATCGGGTGTGGAATGGGTCAATGTACAACGGAAATTTGTCCAAAATACTTAAATGCCTCAAAAATCCAAATACCCATACTGCCACAATTTAAAGGAGTAAATTATAAGATCCATGTTAATAGAATAACTCGATGTTTATAGAAAAATGTAGATATTACTTTCAAGGCAAAAGTATAAGTATATCCCTTTTGAAAATGACAAGTCAAGTGGATTTAGAAATTTATCTCTTAAAAACCAGTCATTTACGCCCATATGCACCGTTTTAAAATTTAATCCAGATTTGCAAATCTCGTTTAAATGGCCAGTGGTAATTTTCTATGCACCGGCTATGGATTAGATAATCTAGTTTAGTAATCTGACAACACTGTATTTTTTATAAATTTCACAAAAAAAAGAAGAAAACTTCAGATTTGAGTAGAAGAAATGTATGTCAGAGGATAAGAGGCCGTTGAAGATTTTTTAAATGTACCAAAAGTGTAAACACACCGTAAAACGCATACCGAATTTTACGCAAGGTGAAAAAGAATGTCAAATGAATTAAAAAAAAAGAATTCTATAGTTGAATGGCAAAACCATTATGTTCATTTTTGGTAACATACAAACTGCTGGCTTTTCAATGCAAAACGATATACCTATATGAATACTTTCCCTACACTGTGCATGTTCAAAACTATATGGATGACATATTTTCAGTATTTAAAAGGGGATAAAATCACATAAATATTATATGTATTGCTTACTATTTTTACCATTTTAAACATGTCTGGATTTGCCATCTAACTACAGAATTAAGCTGTAACGTTGGAATATAAAACATCTCTTAAAAATGACAAAGTTTGGTAATTTTGTCTAGAATCTATCATCTTCCAAGAAAAGCTGATATTCTATTTCCGTTTTTTAATAAAATTCAAATAAAATAAGTAAAAGAAACACAAATAAAAAGTTCCAAATATACTGACAAATCGTTGACATATTTATGACCTTAGAAAATCTCGATTAAATAATTTAATCCTCCGATATTGACGGATTAGAATAAAATAGGATTAAGAATGATTTTTATTACGGTGCATAGCTAAAAATGTTACTAAACGCGATTAAACCTTTGATCTGGATTAAAGGTGTACGGTGCATACGGGCGT